AGACTACAAGTGAAGCGACGGTGGAGGAGATCGTAATAACGTACCTTTTAGAGAAGGCAGTGTTGTAGATGGTGGTGGTTTGGGAGGCCACTAAATACACTGCAGCAGGACGGAGAACTCTTTTCACTACTGATTCATTCTGCCATTTTTTAAATGTCTTGATCATCTTCTATGGTCATATCTGGCTTGAAATACCCAACACTACTGCCATGATCTCTCTTGGTACTGTTTCGTTAAGTCTGTTAAGAAAATGTGCACAGAAACAGATTAAATTAATGCAGAGTGCGTTTCCATCTACGTCTCTAACATTGAGCATAAATGAGCCCTTGGTGGGTTTGGCTTGTACTGGTGGTGGGCGGGGTTTGTAGGGGCGTGTCTTGTACACTTCAAATTACCAAAACAGAACCATCTGACCTGTATTTGTGCTAAAAAATAATTAATAAATCATTTAAAAGTTGCACTGATTTAAATTTATAGGTGATTGTAAAAAACGGGGGCACTATTGAATAGTAAATATACCTGAGGTATTAAAACACAGAGGGCAGAGAGGGTGTAGAAATATATGAAACATGAAGTGATTAATGTGTCACACAGATACTTACTTACACAGATACTCAGACTCTAAAAGAGTCATCAAATAGAAAATATTTCACGTATAGTTTTTTTTAAATGTTGTGGTTAAATGTTATTTAGTGACTTCACTGGAAAACTACTGACTTCCCATAAAATCTTTCCAGTCTTTGTCTTTCATCTGACTGTGTCTGTGTTCTGGATGTTTCTTCCATTCAGTGGAGCTGGGACTGGTTCCAGCTCTGCAGCCAGCTGATCCTCCAACTCCCTGCCCACTGCTGGGTCCATCTGCTGGGCTTTTCACTCCTGCTGCCTCCAACAGACTCTGCCACCAATCTGCCGGAGAAACTGTGTAACACAGCACCATATATGTCGACTATATAACGTAACAATGTAGTGATACAAGAGGCATGATAAAAACGGAGAGAAGAATAAAGTTCAGGGATGTTTTAAGGCGTGGAGCTGGCCATGGTGCTGAATGCCAGATATCTCGTGGGGCTTTGAAAAGAATCAGGTCATGTGACCAAAAAATGAAGAAAATAGATCATTCACAAATCTTCTAAATGTGCTGTATTTATTGTGGAGAGAAGTTTTACTTCATACTTAAGTCAAACTACCACAGTGGAGCAATAATACGTACATTTCCCATCCTGCAAACTGACAAGTATTGTGTTTGTATCAACACGATACTTACTAGAGCTCCAAATGTGGATTAATCCACTGCTGAAAATAGTCCCCCATCAAAGGCACTAGTTAGTACAGAGAGTTGTTGACTAGAGATGATACGCCGTCTCATGGTGGTCACTTCCTGTCAACGTTACAGATCAGAATCACAGAGAGTTGTTGCCTAGAGATGATACACCGTCTCATGGTGGTCACTTGGTGTGAACAGGCAGCTTTTTAGAACGTTGCAGAACGGCGCATTGCAAGTAACTGCATGTTTTCACTCGTCTCATCCCAAATCTTTGGTCTGAACTGGGTTTAAAGACTTACATCTTTAGTAAGAACCAGTGGGCTGAAACTGAGAGACAGGAAGTCAGGAAGCACTGAGAGAGACATCAACACATTGTTGATTTTAGTCTTTTCATGGGATTTGTTGAAAATAAAGAAATTATAGATACACCGACCTTCTCCTTTAGAAATACATCAAACTGCACTGACGCACAATAATGGATTTTTTACAGTAAATGCCAGCTTCTGACGACAGCCTACAGATTTCTTTCACATTTCCAGGAAATATATTTTTTCCATTGAAAGCGTACTAAGTGTTTTCATATCTCAGGTTTGTCTGAATAAATCCACCACACACAGGAGCTCCAGTTTTATCTTTTTCAGACTCTCATTGTGAAGTCGTATTGGCTGGCTTATAGTCGACCCACTCATCTGACCTTCCCCACAGCAGAGGTGAGATAACTTCCAGGCTCCAGTGAATTCAAGCCGAGTCTCAGAAGCCCAGATAAAGTCAAATTAAGCCTCAAAGCAATTCCAGGCTCGAGGTTTTTATAATTTAAGCCTAAATAACTAAATCCTTCATTCGTTATCTCAGTTATCTGCATGTGCGGCTTAATGCTAAATGAAGGTCGACTTCAGAGGAAGCTTCTGTGTAACACTGCGGTCTGAGCTTCATCGCTGTGTTTCAGGTTTTTATTAAAAATACATTGAATCAGGCTTCTGTTACCACATAGATTACAGGTATATCCATTCTATAATAATTCATCATAAAGGTTCAGTATCAGTATCAATAAATATCACCAGCAAACAGTGTTTTGAAATGCAAAAGACAAACAAACAAATTTGGATCAATTTTCTCAGAAATGTGACAAACTCATAATTTGACTCTGTGTCTTATATTTGAGACTTATTGAATAATTTTGACTGAGCACATCAAAAGTTGTCTTGTTTTTTAGAACTAAACCATCGCTTTTGACTTTCATTTCCTTTTTGAGGGTAAACATTTTGAGTTATAGAATGTTCCCCTTGGTCAGGTTAAGAGCTAACCTGATGGAGAATTGGGACACCACTTCCCCTCACGTGAATGCGCAAAACCAAGGGGAAGGGCCAAGACAAGGGCTAAGGGGAAGAAATAGAATTGTTCCTAGGTCTGTAAGGGCTTAGGGCTTGAGTCAACAAGTCTGTAAGGGATCCATTTGGGGATTGGGGGACTGTTGTTATAATTTTCTCACAATTCAATCTGAGCCTTGTAGTGTTGACTTGTTTTTTTTTATATTTTTTTCTGGGCCAAAAATGATAAAATCACAGTTATTCAATGTACTTGTAATTTCCACTTAGTAGGTTCATTAATATATTCAATTTAGATTAGTGAGTTAGAACTTTTCCAGCAGGCACTGGATGTTAAAATGACGCCAGAAAGACATTGAACTTTTATGTCGGACAGACGTTATATTTGGTTGGATTGAAAATTGGGTCGACGATATTTTAAATATCTAACTATGATAGATTTTTACTTTGTGTGGGTGCGAACATCATTATGTTTTGCAGATGTTGGGTTTTGTTCTCTACATCTTACAACTAGATGTCGTTATTTTGCGTCAACATTATGTTGGCATGACATGTTTTGATGATGTTGGATTTTGGTTACTTAAAAGGGATAGTGCACCCAAAAATGAAAATTCAGCCATTATCTACTCACCCATATGCCGAGGGAGGCTCAGGTGAAGTTTTAGAGTCCTCACATCACTTGCAGAGATCCAAGGGGAGAGGAGGTAGCAACACAACTCCACCTAATGGAGGCTGACGGCGCCCCAGATTCAAACGTCCAAAAACACATAATTGAAACCACAAAATATCTCCATACTGCTCGTCCGTAGTGATCCAAGTGTCCTGAAGCCCCGACATAAAAAAGTTGTTTGGAAAAACCTCATTTGAACGTTTGCGCAACACCATGAGACAGGGCACCGCCTTCGTGTGTGTTCACGTGCTTTCACTGGTCTCGTGCGAAAGCCTGTAGCTCTGACTGCCTCTCTGTGCACCGCGCTCACGTGTACACGCTTTCGCACGAGACCAGTGAAAGCACGTGAACACACACGAAGGCGGTGCCCTGTCTCATGGTGTTGCGCAAACGTTCAAATGAGGTTTTTCCAAACAACTTTTTATGTCGGGGCTTCAGGACACTTGGATCACTACGGACGAGCAGTATGGAGATATTTTGTGGTTTCAATTATGTGTTTTTGGACGTTTGAATCTGGGGCGCCGTCAGCCTCCATTAGGTGGAGTTGTGTTGCTACCTCCTCTCCCCTTGGATCTCTGCAAGTGATGTGAGGACTCTAAAACTTCACCTGAGCCTCCCTCGGCATATGGGTGAGTAGATAATGGCTGAATTTTCAGTTAAACCAACAAAATATCAAAAACATATATCGTCAGTATTCAACATTTTCCGGACATCGAATTTTGGCCACCTTGCATCACAACCTAAATTCAACCAAATATTAATATCTAATGGGTTGGTGGCCTCTGGAACGTGGAAGAGCTCTATATGTCTATTTTGATGTTTGTATTAATAAGTCAAATTTGTCCGTCTTAACACACATAGGCTGAGGTATGTTACAGCCACTGTGGCTTCAAAAGCTTCCAGAGGCCATTGGCTCGCTATGTCGAAAAGGGGTGGATATGTTAACGCCAACCAATGGTATCGAAGCTTTAATGTACTAACTTCTTGAGACATCAGAAATGTATTTATTAACAGGGCAATTGATGTTATTTTTTACCTGCTAAGATGAATAAATTTGACTTATCAATACCTGTGAATGTTTTTCTTTTTCTGGCATCAATGGGCTTCCATACAGGCTGATACTATTGATCAGTTGCTGCTCTGAAGCCTGTTAGACTCTTTCTGTCATGTAGTTTTCACACATGACCACTAAATAAATAAATAAATACAAACAAATAATAAATAAAAAAAGAATCACTCTGCTGGTTTCTCCCTGTTACCATAGCAACACCGGGGTATTTACACCAACATGCAGGCCCGACTGTCGCAAACTGCTCAGCAGCCAATTATGGGAAAAGGTTAGAGCCGCTTCCTGCTGCAGATTCCTCCAGTCAAAGTGAGAGCTGAGAAAAAACCCAGCATGAGTGTTTGATACCAGCAGCAGAATATAAAGCAAACACGCTGTTACATAACGTGATGCAGAGGATGTTTTAATGTATTGAGACCTCGCAGCGTCCATTGATTTAATTTCTAATAAGGTATATTAGAGTAAAATGAGTGTGAGGCGCGCTGTGGTGGGTCGTGCAGCTCGGTGCGGACCTGCTGCTGTGTTGTTGGGTGAGCTGGTGCTTTTGCAGATACTGTAGTGCCAACTGTGTTTTACAGTCTGTCTGCATTGCGTCGAAACCCCCCTCCTCTCCTCTTCCTCGCTCCCCTCACTCACTCACTCCCTCTATCCTAACCCCTCCCTCCCTCACTTCACTCACTTCTCCTTTTTCCTCTCTACATGAAATCCTGCAATATGCTTCCAAATTACCGGAGACACATCCTCTGTCTCGTGCGCCTCTGAGCGCGGGATCTAGTTTTTTTTTTCCGTTAAAGCCTCCGCGGGTTTTTTTCACCGTAGCAAAAGGAGAAAAAAAAGCATGAGCGCGGCTTTCTGCTGATGCTGCAGTGTCCAGTCTTCCCAGTTCTCCCCATCAGACTGGGAGCTTTATATCTTGTTTTTCTCTGCACCAGTCTCCGTCCTCTCCCTCCTTCATCTCCAGCATGATTTTACCAAATTGTCAGTCAGGATTTTTGCTGCTGAGCTGCGGTTTGAAGCCGTCTGAAGCCTCCTCCTCCTCCTCCTCCTCCTGCGGGCTGCTCCGATCGACGCTGAAAACCTACACCAAGAGGATACGGATGTTGACCAAGACAACATAGTCTATTAATTTTTCAGAGATACTGTAAAACGATATCAGTATTAAACCCAAGTGGGGAAAGGTGTGCGCTGGTGAGGACATTCCTTCCATCCGCTGCTCTCCAGCTCAGCTCAGGTACATTTTTATTCATCTTCTTAAAGCATATTTGACATTTAGAGGATATTTATTTGTTGATTTGAGTGTGTCAGATCTTTGTGTGACTGGACAGTAGTTGATGTGTGAGAGGAAACTGCAGGTCCTGATGTGCGCAGAGAGGAAGCGCAGCAGGATTGCAAACTTGAATACTGATGTATGCGGTAAAAATACAGCAAATGCAGCACAGGCTACTGTACCCTGCTGCATGGTGTTGTTCTCTCCTGCTGTTGGAGCAGATACAAACAGGATGTGAAGGGAGATCTATGTGCTTTGTGAGACCAGTTTGTTTCGCCCTCTGGCAGGTGACGAAGCATCGCTGAGAGAAAGATGTTCAGCTCGGAGATGATGATGATGATGGTGGTGGTGATGATGATGGAGAAGGAGGCTCTGCACAGCTCGCGGCCTCAGTAGAGGCTTCCTCACTTCGACCTGCTGTCCTTCACCTTCACGCCGCTTCCTCTTCCTGTCCTCCACCCGCCAGGAAGGATGACCGTGGTGTCCACAGAGAACATGGACGAGACCTCCACCCTGCCGGGACACCCGCAGGACCCCTACCCGCCCGACGACGACCACGACGACCACGACTGCTGCGAGCGGGTGGTCATCAACATCTCGGGGCTGCGCTTCGAGACCCAGCTAAAGACACTAGCCCAGTTCCCCGAGACTCTCCTCGGGAACCCCAAGAAGAGGATGCGCTACTTTGACCCTTTACGAAACGAGTATTTCTTCGACCGGAATCGCCCGAGTTTCGACGCCATCTTGTATTATTACCAGTCAGGGGGACGGCTAAGAAGACCGGTCAACGTGCCGCTGGATATGTTCTCAGAGGAGATAAAGTTTTATGAACTCGGCGCGGAGGCCATGGAGAAGTTTCGAGAGGATGAGGGATTTATCCGGGAGGAGGAGCGGCCCCTGCCAGAGAAGGAGTTCCAGCGGCAGATCTGGCTCCTCTTTGAGCATCCAGAGAGCTCAGGGCCCGCCCGGGGGATCGCCATCGTCTCGGTGATGGTTATTCTTATTTCAATAGTTATATTTTGTTTGGAGACATTACCAGAGTTGAAGGAGGATCCCAGCCAGCGGATGCGCCAGATCGGGAACACCACCGTGTTTTACAAAGCAAATGTCCTCACAGACCCTTTCTTCGTGGTGGAGACGCTCTGCATCATCTGGTTTTCTTTTGAGTTGATAGTCCGGTTTTTCGCCTGTCCCAGCAAGGCAGCATTCTTTAAAAACATGATGAACTCTATTGATATTGTGGCTATAATCCCATACTTCATCACACTTGGAACAGAGCTGGCCGACGACCAAGACAACAAGGAGGGGAAGGGAGGAGGGGAACAGGCCACATCTCTGGCTATTCTCAGGGTAATCCGTCTTGTGAGGGTGTTCAGGATCTTTAAACTGTCCCGACACTCAAAGGGGCTCCAGATTTTGGGGCAAACTCTAAAGGCGAGCATGAGGGAGCTGGGCTTGCTCATTTTCTTCCTCTTCATCGGTGTGATTTTGTTCTCCAGCGCTGTCTACTTTGCCGAGGCCGAGGAGAAGGAGTCGTTCTTCACCAGCATCCCGGATGCTTTCTGGTGGGCAGTAGTGTCCATGACCACTGTCGGCTATGGGGACATGTACCCCGTGACCATCGGGGGGAAGATCGTGGGCTCGCTGTGCGCCATTGCCGGAGTGTTGACCATCGCACTCCCGGTGCCTGTCATTGTGTCCAACTTCAACTACTTCTACCACCGGGAGACGGAGGGTGAGGAGCAGGCCCAGCTGCTCAATGTCAGCAACCAGAACTTGGCGTCGGACACCAACTCGAGCCGCCGCAGCTCCTCAGTAGTCAGCAAGTCGGAGTACATGGAGATAGATGAGGACATGAACAACAGCATCGATAACTTTAGGGAAGCGAACCTTAGGACTGCCAACTGCACGGCTCCCAGTCAGAACTGTGTGAACAAGGGGAAGCTGCTCACCGACGTGTGAGGCAGCGTCCGACGCACCAGTGTAAATATTGTAGAAATATCTGGATGCTTTATCTCCATTGGTGCATTTTATTCTTCTTTTGCATTGAATCATTCAAAACGTGTGTGAAGACTTTTCAGAGTTCAAGGCACACGTGGTAAATTTAAGATAGAAGCTCAGTTATTTCATGAAAACACAACGACAGACTTGTTTGGCAATAGCGCAGAGATCAGCAGGTGTCGGGAAACGTTTTTGATAAATTATTGACTCAATCTGTACCAGTTTGAAAGATGTTGGTGTTGATGAAGCAGAAAGAGTATTAAAAGACAACACTGCCGATATTTTGACCATTCCAAATTCACTAGCCTTTATCAGACAGGAAGTGTCTAACAAAAGACATTATGGTCGATATGAATGAGTTGCACTATGGGAAATGTAGGAACCAGTGCCCCGAATTTCAGTCTCTGTTGCACCAATTTTTACTATTCTTTTAAGATATGTCTTGAAAGTGCTCCTTTAATTGATTTTTTTACCCAGATGTGTGGACATGCATCAGGTTTAGGCTGCTAAAGCACAACATAATTATCTCTTATAGGTCTCTTAAATGTAATTTATAGAATTACACCTGGGTTAAGATGAATTTAGATGGAAAAAAATGTTTATATGGAGCTTTTAATGGCTACAGATTGATGCACAAGAGAGAAAGATGGGAGCAAATGAAGTCATGTGAGAGTAAGATTTAGTTTGAGGGAGGGCAAATTTATTTGTGTAGCACCTTTCAGCAACAGGATTAAAATAAAATGGAAGATAAAAGTAAATTGCAAGAAATGAAGACGCAATCCCAAAGTTAGCTCAGTGAAAGTCAGTTGCAAACAAAGGTTTGAGTTGACAATAGAAATTCAACATGACTAAGTGCACTGGAACATGAAGGCACAATTAATTTGACATTAATTTATCCAAAAATTTCCTCGACACCTTTTCGGCTTTGTGCAATAGACTCGACTAAAAAAACAAAACAAAGCCCAACTGAGATTTGAAGAACACGTTCATGGACGACACATTTCGAGTGGATTACAGTTGAAGTTCAGGCGTGTTTTTCCGCGGCACATCCAGGGACATTTTGGGAAACTCAACGCCAGATGTTGACGGATGTTTTTCAGGCACCTTATCAGAAACAAACAGGAAGTGTGCCGAGCCTTGTGGAGGATTATCTGCACTGCTGCTGCTGCTACAGGTCGGCTGGAGGTTCCCTGTATGATGCCATGCAACACTCCTTTATATAAACGCATGTGGAGACTTTCTTCTCTCTTATATCGGCATGCACAAGACGTTACCTCATTTTTATTTTTACATTTTTTTTTTCTTCCTGGACCCTCATCTTCTCCTCCTGGAATTTTTTCCCTCATTTGTTTTCACCAAAAGTGCACTGGCTATTTATTATTATTTATTTCAAAGCATTTACGTGTTGAATGTTGAAGCATTAAGGGAACAGGAACACTTCTTTTTTGAAGATCATGGCATGTCAAAATACTAAAGCATTATGGCCTAATTAGCTATGGTATAGCTATGTATACTCAATGCATGACTACAGTATTAAATTGCTTGCAGTTGTGGAGGGACCTCGGGAGCTGGGGGATGATGATGAGTCTCCTCATTATTGTCAAGCTAACGACAGGATACGGTGCATGACGGAGCAAACTGCCGGAGGGGACAAACCTGCTAAAAGAAAAAAAAAATAAAAATAAAATAAAAACAAGGCAAAAAAAAATCAGAAGAGACATATCCGACGATCTCTTTAAAAAAATGACACTTCAGAAATAACATCCTCCTTTTTCATTTATTTAAAGCTTTGATCTTGACGATGGAGTGCATGGGATCATTTTTATGTGATTTGTGACCCAACTTCTTTTCTCTCTTGCATTTGACTTTTAAACAGTTTGAAGAAGGAAAGCAGTAATATTTAACAAATTTCATAGATATATCTAAAATTAGTTTCTAGTGCCTTGAACCCCGTCTCATTTTAGAATTGACTAAAGTGCCTCCCGTTCCAATAGACAGCAAAGAGCTTACTATGTGCAGCTTATCTTCTCCTGCCATAAAGATGCACTACTCCCTGCACACCTGGAAAAGAAGAGGGTAATCGACTAACATGTTTCGATAAAGATATGAATATATTCCATATTCTGGGGCCAGATTACTGGGCCTGTGTAAAGTCACGCTTGTCCTGGTTGATGACACATGGCTGCAGTGCACAGTGAGTGAGATAGAGAAGTTAAAATATGGATTATTTGAACAAAAATTCAAGAGAAACTCTGGTCTTTTGTTGGTCAGACACCTGCAGGTGCATGAGTTTGACATCCTTAAAGGGACGTTCCAGTATTTTTCAACACATTCTCAAAATTGTGGCTGTTCTAACTGTGGGTCATACTGAAGAAGAAACTATATTTACATGCTTGTCTCTGAGTATGAACAGAAATAAAAACATAAATTACCCTCCTGGGTTAGCTGTAGAAACATTAGCTAACAAAGTAGAGATCTAGCCTACTTATGATTCAGTTTGTTGGCTAGTTGTTAGCACCAGGGATTAGCTATTAGTAGCTAACTGCATAGGTTTGGGGCAACTAAATGGCTAACCTAGCTAGCAAACCAATTAGCAAACTAGTGTGTCTCAAATTGCACACTTCTGTTAGTACACTTCAAAGTAGTACACTATGTAAAACACTACGTTCTTGCATGGTGCGATTATTTCAACAGTGTGGTCTCAAATCATGCACTGCCATTTTGCACTTACAAGAAGTGCCTCTTCTTCTTTGTCTTTTTTTTAAATGGCGAAACAGAGGAGAATTATCGCCAACATTTGACACCCACACTTGAACCAAACTTACACCACAATGTCAGCGTTGATTAACACGTGCTGCTGTATCTAGGAGTAGCTAGCAAATTCTAACAGTATCCAGCAGGCTAAGGGAAGCTTCCGCTATGTCACAAAGATGGTGACCCACTCAACTGTTTGTTTTTGAGTGTGACAGTAGTGCACTGCATTTTCCCATAGTATGCAGTGTGGGCGCATTTAGCGCACTTGTGCACTCAAAATATTAAGTGTTCAGTACAGAAGTATGCGATTTGAGACACACTGTTGGAGACAAATGCTGTGTTCAGTAGAACTCATAAGCTTGTGTTAATGACATTGGAAGTTGTGAAATCGTGTGTAAATATGGTCACTTCTCATGAGCACAATAAACAGGACCCCATTTGAATGCAGAAATTAGCATTACCAGGGATTAGCCATAATAAAGGCATAGGGTTGCATTTATGTGGCAACTAGACGGTTAACCAGCTAGCTGTCAGGTTAGCCAACAATCTATTTTTCATCTACACTTATCAAAACGTATTTATAAATTCATCGCCTACAAAGCACTTAACAGAGGTAAACAGATACTACAATTGTTACTGTTTGGATAAGCTAGTTAGCAACAGTAGCTAAATCAGGGAGCTAATCCTGCTGTACACATGTGACTGGTCGTGAGCAAGATTAAGGCATATAATAAGGCTCATTATTTTCAGTTTTGAAAAAAAAAAAATAATACAAATAACAGAGATACATTTGCAGTCAGGAATGTAGCCAAGTTTTTATAAATAATAAGATAAGTCCTACATGTGTTTTTTGAATGACGACTGTTTTTATAGCCTGGTTTCATTGATTTAACTTGCTTTCACTGAATCATTTGCAAACATTTTTTAAAGGCAACAAATTGTCTTGTTGTTGGAAGGATACAATTCTGTTGATATTTTATGTATTTTTCTTTTCGTCAACAGTCCCATGTGCACACACAAACCAACTATTCTAATTCCTCTAACCCACAATCCCACTGGTTGATACTGAACATGTAGTGCGTCACAAATATAGGAAATAGTGTATTTGTTGGGGACTATTTTCACCATTTGTGGCAGCAGGACAAGGTGTGTGGGGTTGAGTCAAAATAAACTACAGTGTGTGTGTTCATGGTAATGAAGGCAGATACATCCACTGTTGATTTGGGTCTGAACATGAAGAAAAATATATAATATCACCAGACTTATCCTGTAATGTAAATGTACAAAAATCCTCACAAGGCCTGAATTCCCACTGAAAGTGAAACACACTGACAGGTTGAAAAAACCTCCTGAGAACACTGAGGGCACGACCTCATTGTCTTTTAACGGCAGCTACGTCTCTGACTGCAGCAGGAAACATCTCAAAGGACTCTCGCAGATCTGCAGCACTGTCAGCAGCTCTCGTGCTGTTTCACTTTGTATCAGCTGCCACAGCCAGAGGAGCATGTTTACAACGTCCTCTGGCTGCTCCAAACACTGCCGTTTTCTGATTCCTGGGACCAAAACATGCTGCTGAACACTAGATCTGCTCCTCACAAAAGAAACAGACACCATCTGCTTTGAAAATCTGAAAACAATGAGCCTTACATGTCCGCCTAATGTGTCTCGCTGGGGTTGTTTTTAAGCATCTGACCTGCTGTATCTCCATCAGAGTGCTTCTCAACACCAGCACTGCAGTGTTTTCAGTGCTTGGTTGAGGCTTACATTGTCCAACATGTCCTCACATGAGGCTACAGATAATAGGGAGAAATTATGGGGGATATATGTGCTCAGTTGTGGATGTTGCTGTAGAGAGATAAAAGATGAACACGACCACAGTGGAAGCAGCCAGTGTTTCCTCTGCAGAGCAGCTGAACATTACCACAGGCATTAGTCACTCTGCATGCCAGCAAAATGGCGCTGCTGCTGCTGCTGTTTTGTTTTGAGGAGGGAGCACATGGCTGTGTGAGGAGAAGGATGTCTCTGCTGTGGTGCTTTCATGAGGACACAGTGTTAGAGGACAACACGAGGACTGATTGATGAATATGGATGATGTAAAAAGCGTCCAACAGAAAAGAGGAGTGTTGACTCAGTCTGATCTTGGCTTAAATGTCACCCTGCAGTTCCCTCCTCTTCACTGCTGACACTTTAAAACTAAACTGTGAAGAGACTCCCGGACAAAATTTGGGTAGTTTCGTGACCCTAGAATATAATTAGGAGGGTGTTAATCCCACAGATAATTAGAAGATTTAACACATTAAAACTGATACAGTACTTGTATTTCTTAGAGACAAACATCTGAGAAGTATCCAACCCAAATGCCAGAAAGAATGTTGGCATTGTATGTTTCCGCAAACTATGAATACATCATATACAACGTTTCATATATAGTCCCTGTCCCTGTATGGTTATGTTTAGGCACAAAACCCACTAGATTAGAGTTAGGAAATCTCCTGTTTTGGCTTAAAATACCTACTTTTGTTGCCACATACACGACCGGAAATGTCTGTAAATGTAAAAAAAAAAAAAAAAAAGAAACACCTGCTTTTGTCACCACATACACAGCTGGAAATGTCCCAGACTGTTGCTAAAATAATACCGGGTTTTGTTGCTTTAAACAATATTTGACGTGTCATGAACTGCCATTAAAAAGTACTGCTTTTTTGATACAAACACGTTTGGAAATGTTCCGACCTCTTGTTAACAAAATATCAGCTTTTGTTGCCACAAACATAACCGGACATGTCTCGAGCTACTGTTCAAAAATACCTGCTTTTGTCGCTACAAACAAGGCTGATAATTTCTTAAACTCTCTTTAAGAAATACTGGCCTTTGTTGTGACAAACAAGGACGGACATGTTCTGAACTCTCGTTAACAAATACCTGCTTTTGTCTCCACAAAAATGGCTGGAAATGTCCCAAAATCTCTTTAAAAAATAGCCGCTATTGTCACTACAAACAAGGCTCAACATGTCCCAAACCATTATTGAAAAATACAACAACCTTTGGTTGGTACAAACCAGACTGGACATGTCCCAAAATGACACTTTTGTTGTTGCAGTCGTGGCTGGAAATGCCTTGACCTCTTGTTAACAAAGTACCCGCTTTTGTCGTTACAGACACTGTTGGATATGTCCCAAACTGTCGTTAAAAAATACTTGTGTTTTTCTCCCCAACATACACAGTTGGAAATGTCCCAAATTTTTATTAAAAAATACCACTTTTGTTGCTGCAATCGTGGTTGGAAATGCCCCGGCCTCTTGTCAACAAATTAACTGCCTTTGTCATTTCAGACACAGTTGGACATGTCCCAAACTGTGGTTAAAAAATACCCTATTTTGTCAATAAAAACACAGTTGGACATGTCCCAAACTGTGGTGAAAAAATACCCTATTTTGTCAATAAAAACACAGTTGGACATGTCCCAAACTGTGGTCAAAAAATACCCTATTTAGTCAGTAGAAACACAGTTGGACATGTCCCAAACTGTGGTCAAAAAATACCAGATTTTGTCAATAAAAACACAGTTGGACATGTCCCAAACTGTGGTTAAAAATACCCTATTTTGTCAATAAAAACACAGTTGGACATGTCCCAAACTCTGGTTAAAAAATACCCTATTTTGTCAATAAAAACACAGTTGGACATGTCCCAAACTCTGGTTAAAAAATACCCTATTTTGTCAATAAAAACACAGTTGGACATGTCCCAAACTCTGGTCAAAAAATACCCTATTTTGTCAATAAAAACACAGTTGGACATGTCCCAAACTGTGGTTAAAAATACCCTATTTTGTCAATAAAAACACAGTTGGACATGTCCCAAACTGTGGTCAAAAAATACCAGATTTTGTCAATAAAAACACAGTTGGACATGTCCCAAACTGTGGTTAAAAATACCCTATTTTGTCAATAAAAACACAGTTGGACATGTCCCAAACTCTGGTTAAAAAATACCCTATTTTGTCAATAAAAACACAGTTGGACATGTCCCAAACTCTGGTTAAAAAATACCCTATTTTGTCAATAAAAACACAGTTGGACATGTCCCAAACCGTCATTGAAAAAATACAGTTTTTGTTGTCACAGACATGGTTGGAAATGTCCCAAACTGTTGTTAAAGAATACTCTACTATATATAGTCTACTCCTGTCTTGCTGCTTGGTAGCCGTTCAGATGTCATGCCATCCATTCTTCCTTCTCCTGATGAGAGACTCAGCTCATACACATGAAACGTACAAATGTATTTGTTCTTTGCAGAAACATACAATGCCACCACTTTTGTCTGGCGACTGGGCTGACCACATGACGAGTCTTGACTTAATGAGCAAGTGAAAATGACTGAATGCATCTCTGACACTTAGATGATTAAAGGATTTATCATCCAAATTCAGGCAGAAAAAAGCAGAATCTCTGTTAAGATGTTTTCAGTTTCAGGATTCAGACCCTCAAATGGAGGCATTTTTTTCTCGTAATGTGAGAGAAATCATTACAATCAACTCTTCAGAGTCGTCACTTCTCTCATGTCTCCATGTGACGTTGCTCAGTGTGGTTTCATACCACAGTATCCCCCAGTATTGTTGTCCTTAGTGTGACAGCTTATTCTGAGAGTGAAAAGGCCAAAACAGTTCTGCTGATGCCAAATAGTGAGAAACTGTGTATGATGTATCACACTGAGTGTCATTCAGGGACTATTTTGTTGAGTAGATGTGTGCAGGTCGTTTGCAGTAAGAAGCGTGTCCTAATAAGGATCAACAGTGTTACATTGTCTTTGTCTGAAATCAACAGAAGCACAACAGAACTGCAACTTTTCGTCAAGCAGCTAAACAGCAGAGCCTCGTCTGAGTCAGTAGATTTGTTACATAAGAGTCTGCAGTTTTATGTTGTTGTTTTTTTCAACCAAACACTATGACAACTTATTTATTAATTTATTAAAGTGAAATCAGCTGCTGTGGGATTTGGTTTGGATAAAAAGTCTGCAGACTCATCAGCCAGTCTTAAACTCTTCCTTGCAACTTGGAGCTGAGTGTCATCAGAGTGGAGCTCTGTGTAAACTCAAAGCTCTGCTCATCCACCCACACAGCTGTTTTCACTTGCTTTACCTGATTAGACCTCTTCTGAGGACTGTGTGGGCGTGTACCCGTCGTGCTTGATTGACGGCTTGGACCAATCATGTTGATGCATTGAGTTTGGTGACTTCATGTTGATCCTAGCTCTCCTAGAGGCCGTTTACACGTTGCCGGCTATTTTCGTAAATGGACATTTCACCGTCTCCGTTTTCAAAAAGATCTTCGTTTACACTTACCCTTGTATATATATACAAGAGTATGCCAAACCTGTAGGTTGCAGTGTAATGAGATTCTCAAGCCTTCCATGTATCCATTGTCACCATAGCAACATAGGTCGCACTTTTGACACAGGCGCAAGTTCCGGCGCATACTGTGACGTCGACTGCCTATAACTCCGTTTATCTCCGTTTATCTCAGTTTACATGCAAACGCGCAAAACGCGCAACTGGAGTTTTCCAAAATCTCCTTTAGAAAGACTTGTTTTCAGAGGAGAAATCTCCGTTTGCGTGTAAACGAAGGGCACAAACGAAGGAAGATGTCTCCGTTTATCAAAATCACCGTGTACGTGTAAACGGCCTCCTAGTTCTGCCAAACCTCACTCACAGCAGACGTCCAATCAGTCATCAGAATAAGTGAAAACACCTGTTTCTCTGACTTAGACACAGCTCCACCAAATCCCTGAAACTCATCAGAACAAAAACCTGACAGCTGGAGCTTATTAATCCAATTAATGGCTTTAATTCAGTACACAGCAGGTCGATAAACAGGCAGAAATATGACTCTTGGTCTGTTCAAAAAACTGACTCATCAGCAGCTGCTGCTCTGATCACCTGCAGTTTGATACAGTTTGACATGTGTGCTGGTTTGGGACTTTGTTAGGGGCCGTGCACATGCTGTGTCTTTAACCGCAAAGAAGACGTGAGGTGCTGGGCGCTACTCTCGTCTTTTCTGTGCCAACTTTCAAGGACACAGCGGCACGTTGTATCTGAGGTTGCTTAGCAACCTTAACAAGCACTGTATCACAGCCTATTTACCTGAAATCCTGAGTGCAGAGCTGATCTTCTTTATAAGTGTGTGAGGCCAACAATATCTTCTGTGGGACAGATGCTCTGAAACAATCAATTTCTTCTCCATATTTATCACAGACTGATATTAATGGAAGAAGGGAAAGATATCTGTCGGCTGTGACTGGTTGCTCCTCGTCACATGACATGCAGTGCGCACTGCTGAGCTCCAAAAGCTGAACTCAGTTTCTCCCATGGCGCAGCCGTCAAGCCCTGAAAAGTAGGTGCTTGGGAACGCGTACGCGCCACTCTGGTGTTTGAGTGCGCCTGCCACGCGTCTATATTGAAAACAATGAATTTGAGGGTGCAAAAAACATGGCATGTGTACAGCCTTTGGACATTACATCAAGTCTGAACACTGTACTATAACAGCCCAATCTTCTGCAAACCATGAAAGTGTCACATTTGCACGTTACTTTGTTGCTGATACGTTAAAACTTTAGGTTTCATCAACACTGTGGTTAACGTCTGGTTATGTTTAGGAACAAAAACCACTTGGTTATAGTTCTGAAAAGATCATGTTTTGGCTTAAAATACCCAGTTGTGGTGGCACTGCTCCTGCTGGAAAAGCACTGATTTCTTGGAAAAGCAAAAACACTTTTCATGCAACTAACCCAGCAGAAAAAAGCAGAGACTGGTTACTATAAAGCTGCTGGAAAAACAGCAATGTATCGCTAAAAATCAACTGGTTTTGTTGTTTGTAGGTTTCGAACAGTGGACTGCTGCTTGGCAGGCATTTTGCTGTGACAAGCCACTCACTACGTCACTTTAGAAACTTTGAAATGATACGTATGAAACGTGCAAATGCAACGTATTAATGGTTTGCAGAAACAGTTTCCTCTGGTTGATGATAAATCTGTAAGACTGACCCATGTTTATCAGCAGTGTGCCTCATATCATGATGATTTTATCGATCCTAAAGTGCTGTTTAAATCTGAGCTCTTGAAGTCCTGACATATTATACACATGTATGTTTCATAATTTGTGCTTGCACATATTACTATCCTGCTCCATATCTCATTGAACAAGATAATAATTTGTGCATTATTTTTGTGCATAAAAGTAATTTTACGTACAAAAAAGGTTACCAGGATCATAGTTTGTTTTAATTTGTGCTTCCAAGGTGACAAACCCACATCATGTGAACATGAGCAGGTTTACTGTGTGCAGATCCTCGGCTCTGGCTCCATGTGTGCAGCAGCTGCGTGTCATCAACCAGGCAGATTAAGGCTCGTTTCAGAAACCGCTGTTGAAGGTGTGAAGAAAAACTCCCTTTAATTAACGTTTCAGTGAAAATGCATAAAAGCTATACGAAGGTGCTACGTGTTAAACATGCAGTCGGTCCGAGGGAGCAAAATTACAAACTTCACAACTTTTTATTTTTAAGAAGAAAATCACATAAAAAAGTATGTTTGAAATTAGTTCTATGAAGAAACAACATCAGGGTAGCTGGTAGTCTTGTGGTTTTAAATTCTGTTTGTTCATACTCGTAGTGTTTTTAGGCCAAAGTTTGAGACATATCTGCACCACGAAGGGACCAAATGAAGTTTTTTAGGTTTTTTTTTTAATATCATCAGAGCAGCTGAACAGACGGATGATAAACAATAGAAGTCTTTTCCAGACTGTGGCTCATTATGTCTGAAAAAAAAAAAAAGTGACTCTGTGTTGTTATTTTTATCTTTTTTGTTTGATATGCAGTTAACACCTTTCCCTACAAATTAAAATCCATTTTTATATAGAAACATTTAATATGATTTAGTTTACAAGCTTCAAACTGCCAAGTCCAAAATTTAATTTCCAGATGATCACATGATTGATCTTCAGTCAGCTGCATATCAACAATTTCTGTTCCCAACAGGCTGTTTGGTTTAATTCTCTTATAATATTCTGTGACTGCTGACATAAGCCATCAATGCAGAGTTTCTCAACCTTCACAGGACATTTTTATGACTCATGTATTTGATTTATTTTTACCTAAAGCAGCATTAATTGTGGCGCTGCACAGATGGTGACAATTCTCTGTTGGTTTATGAGCTCATCACATATTATCATTTACCACACTTTTAATGTAAAAATATTGATACACACAGCTTTAAACTAAAATACTGCATGATTGTGATCCACTTGGAGGAACCTAAAGCAGATTACTAAATTATAAAATTTATTTTTTTCTCTGAATCTGTTGAGCAAAAGGAATTTATTTAAGTGACTATACTCATCATTTTCTCGTTTAGCAAACCAAATACTTCGATTTCTTAGAATCTAATTTTTTATTTTAATCTCAATTTTATTTTCTAGTTTTGTTTTTTTAAAGACTGTTGATCAGACAAAATAAGCCCTGTTTAACCTTTATAATGAGCA